GGAGAAGGAGAAGGTTAGGGCAATCATGTACCTGATGAAGGAGAAGGTAATGCGATGGAGGCGGACTGTGTTTATCGACTAGAACTCCCGTCGCCGTCGCCGATTRAGGGTGTGCGATGGAGGCAGTCTGAGCGAGGAGGAGCGATAGGGCAGTCTGAACGGAGATCGATTCAATCATAGCGATGGAGGAGCGATAGGGCAGTCTGAACGCCGATTGAGGCGGACTGTGTTTAGGACGGCGCGTGCGATGGAGGCAGTCTGAACGGAGATCGACGCATCTCCGGGAGACGAGATTGATAGGTTATGTGAGAGGAGAGATGGWGGAGAGGAGAGATCGATGGAGGGACGCTGTGAAGGGGATGAAGGAGACGGTGGAAGGGGATGAAGATGAAGGAGACGGTGGAAGGGGATGAAGGAGACGGTGGAAGGGATTGAGGGTAAAGTGGTAAGAAATTCCTTGTTCTAGTTAGTTCCAGGGGTAGAGGTAGGACTCCCGTGTTCCACTTTTGTTCTAGTTAGTTCTAATTAGTCCCACATAAAGCCATACCAAACATAGGACAATTGTGTTCTGTTCTGTCCTGTTCCACCCTGTTCCACGTACCAAACACACCCTAAATATATTGATTTTTTTAATAAAAAAACAAATCACAAATCTCGCATAACAGATTGAATATCGATGTTAAAAAAAAAATCTTGGTGAAGGGGTTTTGGGGGTGGGCCCACAATCAAAGTTGTAATTTGGTATTTGCCAACTATTGATTGTCATTGGGGGTTACAAGGACATGGTCTCCATACCCCCATTTGTCTCCTTGCCATTTGCCAAGTCAATGCAAATTATAATTAAATTTCACAACTAATATATATTTAATGTTTTTTTTTAATATCTAAAAAATATATTGGAAAATAAATTTATTAATTAATATGTTTATAGTGATTTGATTAATATCGGGATCTGAATTCATAAAAATCTTAGTGTTTACTGTTTAATTCTTGTAATATCAAACGTTTAATAATTTATCTCAAAATGTATTACAAAAATTACTGAAATAGCATGTGGAATACGCTAGCATGCGTTTTTGGACTTATATAAGCTATCATAAATCGTTTTCGTTGACGAAAAACATTATTTATCGCAAAATGTATTACGAAAGTTACATAAATAAAATTGAAAATATCTACATTACATTCGAATATTGGTTACCATTCATTCAAACACATATTGACTTAATAGAGTTGGGGGCCGTTTACCAAATACTTATCCGATAAGCATTTATCGATAATATTTAACACCATCATTTACTTATCAGGTAAGATTTTAGTCAACAAAAACAACATCATATGCAACAATTTTACCCGACAAGCGCTAATTGTGGTAAGAGTCATTGCCCTCACTTATTGGATAAGACTCTCAATCATTGCTTCCTTCTTACTGGGTAAGATTTTTTGTCCTTGTCATATTCATACGGTAAGGTAATCTAACTTGATAAACGCTTTCCCGGATAAGAATTTGGTAAACGGTCCCTGAAATTACTTAGGACATTTTCAACAACTATGCTAAAAAATATAGATTTTAAAAGTATATATTTTACTTCAACAATTCTTTCTGTCACCTGCTGGAATATTCGACACGCGAGGAATAGCGTGAAAGGACTCTAAACGACTGGACAAGACAAACTGAGGCTTATAACCGCGCTGTCTGTTTGAACAAACAAACTTTGTAGAACCGTTTATTCTAAAGTGTACCTTAAAATAGAGGAAGAATAAATAAATAAAAGATAGAAATATCTAAAACTTAATATTTGAAGCGTGATAAATATTGTTTTATTTATTTCCACCAATGAGGTTGAACGTGTTTCTATAAAAGAAAAAAAGTATTTATTACAACAATTATTTTATAGAATATTTTGATAATATAATTAATGTTGAAGTTACTGAAGTTGGAGTTTGATTTGATTTTTTAGAGATTTCAATTTTTTTTTGATTAACTTGGATATCCAACCTACTATACGAATCAACTAATACCAGGACGACCACCCATTTCACGGATAACCTGGAGTAACCACATTTGAACCTCCGTGGCCACAAGGGGATTTTTATTTTTCTTTGGATTCAAACCTAAGACCTCCAGTCACTTTTGACCATTGGGTCCAAGCTCAAATCAATCGGACATCATCATTGTAGTTCAAGATTTCAAATTTAAATATGTTTTATCATAAAGATATTTTGTT